TTCATTGCAGTACTGGGTTAAGACTGGTGTTTCTTGAATCCCAGGCTTTCCTCATTCTTGGATTTTTTTCTTTTTACTCGTCCATCCTTAATTAATTTTTTTCAGAAAGGATTAGTAAAAGGTAGACTTTCTGAGTTTTTACATATCTGAACATGTATTCATTTTACCATTATAGCTAAGTCATAGTTTGGCTGGGAATGGCATTCTGAGTCAGTCTCAGAATTCTGAAAGCAGTGCTCCATTGTCTTCTGGCACTGAGTGTTGCTGCTAAGAAGACTGGTGCCAATGAGATTTTTGTTCTATTGTAGTTGGCCTGTTGTTTGTTCTCTGGAAGCTTTTAGGATCTTCTCTTAGTATCTGATATACTATAAATCACAAGGTTATGATTAAGTATGAGTCTATTTTTATTTATTTTGTTTGGCACTCAGTAAGTTCTTTCAGTCTGAATTCTCCTTAACCCTAGTAAATTTTCTTCTTTTATTTCTCTCATTAGTTACTCCCCAGAGTTTTCTTGTCTTCTTCTGGAACTATTAGTTGAGTCTTGTCCTTCCTGGATTGACCCCATATTATACTCTTTGGACGTTTAAAAATATTTTTTTTCCTTCTGTCATTTTGCTTTCCACTTTGGAAGATTCAGTTGGACTTTTCTTTCAGCCCTATATTGATGTTTTTATTTTAGGAATTAATTATATTTTAAATTTCCAAAACTTCTTTTTTTGTCTCTAAGTGTGTGTGTGTGTATGTGTGTGTGTGTATGCATAATCTCAACTTGTTTTTGTTTTATGGATACAATAGCTTATGAGGTCAGTTTTTTTTTTAATAATTCTTTTGAAAACATTAAATTTATACCATCTTTTTGTTGTTTTTTAACTAAGTGAACCGGAAAAATGTGCATCAGGGAAATTGCCTATCCTTTACTCGCAATTTAAAGAAATGTCCTATTATGGAAAATATCAAAGGTATACAAAGTAAACAAAGTATAATGAATGCTATATCTGTACCTGTCACGCAGCTTCAATAAATATCAACATTCTGTCATTCTTATTTCACCTATACTTCCACCCATTCCTGTAAGTTGTTATAACCAAATGACTAATTAAATAATCTTTTATGTGGAGTTCATCATTTGAATTTATTTTTCATTTAGTATATTATTCTGTTAGGTTGTGGGAGTTCAGAATGAGCTGCCTCAAGATGTGTCTCAGCAGTATGCAGGTTGCTTTGAGCTAAAGGCAATTTTACCTTTAGGCTCAAGAGAAATTTCAGTCCCTCCCTTTAACTATTAACTATAGGGCAGGGTAAACAGAACAAAATGTCTGTTCTTATTATCCTTCAATGACCCTTTGAAGCCCCCAAGGTGCATTACCTCATCCCCAGCTCAGGACTTCTTACATACCACAGTCTCCCTTTCTACCTCTGAACCTGTCATGCACATGGTGTCTCTCTTTCATGAATGCAGGGTTCCCATACATATGTATGTATTAAATTTGGTATTTTCTCTTGCTAATCTATCTCATGCCTATTTGATTATTAGAGCAGCCAAAAGAATCTTGGGAGTAGAGGAAAATTCGTTCCTCCCCCACAGTATCATATCATATACTTTTTCATAAAACGCCTAACTCAGTGGATGATAGTATTAAAAATTATAACCACAACAACAAAAACCCCTACCATTTACAGAGCACTTTCTGTGCCAGATGCTGTGTTCATTCTTTACAAAACACCAGCTCATTTAAGATGATCGATAATGCAAATGTTTGCCCTTTAATCTGCAAAGAATATAGAGATGTTGTTTGTTAAAGGATTAGTAAAAGAATTCAATATTAAAACCAACGTGCAGAAAAGGACATTTTCTGTGGAGTATGTATTCACGACCATGATTCTCAGATACAATAAAATACAACACAATGATAGCTGCTGCTTGTGGGAAAGGACTATTTCTAAGGAAATTTTAATATTTATTGTCTGAGGAACAAATAATAGCCTTTCAATGATTCAGTACCGTAGTCACAATAGTTATAACACCAAGTTACAAATAAGATGCTGCTGTAAGAACTGAAGCACTTTTTTCTGTACATGTGATTCTAAAATTCAGATATAAACTAAGAGTTTTAGCAAATGAAGAGCCCAAATATCTTGTTTATGTCCATAGAAAGTAGAAAATGTATTTTGTTGACTGGAGAGTAAACTTCATCAGAGGCCAACAATTGTTTCTCTCACTTGGCCTCATTCAGCTTTGTGAAATTTCCCCAGAGCTCTGCCATCATTAACTGCAGAGGTGGTACAGGAGATAGGTATTTGCATTCAAGTGCTGTTGTTTGATAGTTTTCTGACCATGGGCCAGTTACTTAATTTCACTAAACCTCAGTTTCCTCATTTGCAAAATTAGGGAAACATCTCCTTCTTAGGGTATTTGTAAAGATTAAGAAAGAAATCACACTAAGCAAGTAATACGAGGCCTAAGACTTAAGTATGTATAAATGATCGTTATAATTACTGTGGGATTCACAGGTATCCTCTACTGGTAGTGCAGCCAGATTTAGCAAATAGAAATACAGGATATCCAGTTAAATTTGAATTTCAGATAGACAAGAAAGTTTTTTTTAGTCTAAGTGTGTCCCGAATATTGAATGGAATATACTTATACTAAAAATTATACTAATTCCATTATCTATCTGAAATTCAAATTTAAGTGGGCATCCTGTGTTTAATCTGGAAAAATAATTCCTCTTCTAAAAGGGAGTCTGAGGTATAGTAAAATAAACCTACAGGAAATAAAGCTGTGATTAAATTTGGTATTAATCTGTTCACATTTGGTAGTCCACTATCCCCCAATACACTCAGTATTTTCCAGGTAATGTTCAAGTATCATATAACAAAAACAAATAATTCCCATGTTTTGGAGTAGAATATAAAATTTTCTCCAAACTGAAACCTGTTAGATCTAGTTACTATATTAAACTAGGCATGGGTTTTGAAACTACTGAATTATATTTGTATTTAAATCTTTATTTGGAAAACCACGAAGTACTAAATATGAAAGTCATATTAATCAACACTAAAAATACACAAGGTAAAAAATCTCTGACAGCATTCAATATCTTTGAAACACTATTTCATAATGTTCTTGTTTACCATGTTTTGTGTGTGCCAATTATTTCTCAAAGTGTGCTTATTAGCACATACACACAAAATAAATAAAGTAGATGGATTTTATATTTTATTCCAAACAGATTCTACATCTTCCCTCTTACTAAAACTAAAAAGCCCATTATTAACTGTACCAGTATTTTAGCTTTCTTCAAACTTAGTTACATTTTTAATGAAATAAAAAGTTAACTGCTTCCATTCCCAAATTGTTCCAACCTTGCTTATGAACTAAATAAATGCATTCTTGCCTACTAGCACGCTGGTTTGCTATTTCTAATAACGATTTCATGCCAGTTTTTACAAAACGCTTCCACAAATCTTTTGATGTCACTGGCTCAAAAAAGTAACTGGATTTTGGTTATTCCCAAAGTCATAATTATAAATTTAGCTTTCCTAAGTGCAAGGGGGGAAAAAAATCACTTTATAATATTATATGCTCCTATTTCTTTTCCATTTGTGGGAGATGTGATTCCTAATTCCTTGCTTTGGACAAGCAAAATGAGGAAACAAGAAATGCCAGAATTTAGTTATCCATTTAGTCCTTTAAAGCATTTGCAGGCTGTGTTTAAACTTCCAGATGCATCACCCCCCAAAATAAGATGTGTGCTACATATCTTCATTCATAATTTTTTATTTGCTAGTAAAACAGGGGCAGTGCTCTATTTCCTTTTTTCAAACAACCGCATCGTCACTCCTAGTTTCTTCATCCTGTCGCAGCAGTCGCAGAGCACGGTACTCTTCAGCTCCATCTCGTGTAGGAAAACGTTGACTGCACCCTCAGCTGCGACCAAGGGGAGCATTTACTACAGTGGAAAAGACGAAAAGCCGGGAACATTAGGCATCAATACTAAAGGAAGAACTGATTTCCTGTGGATAGAGTCTCAGTGTCTGAGAAAAATCAGAGGGTCTTTTCGTTGACCGGAACCTCAGGAAAGCGTGTACTGTATATTGGCTTCATTGATCAATTCTGGAGAAAAATTATACTCCACTTAATTAAAACTGGCATATTTAGAATTAAATTCCCACTGACCCGAGATTCCTGGTTAAATCCGTCCAGAGTCAAAGACGGACATTCTCTGAGCGGCAGTATGTATTACACTGATCTAGCAGAGTATCTTTAAGTCACGTCATAGAGCCCAAAGGAGAACGCCTGGAGGCGGTTTGGGAGGCAGTTCCCGGAGAGGGAGGTTAAGTCCTCTCCAGGGAGGACGTCTGGAGGCGGTTTGGGAGGCAGTTCCCGGAGAGGGAGGTTAAGTCCTCTCCAGGGAGGACGTCTTGGGCAGAGTGGAGTCGTTTCTGTGCTTTCCTGGTCTCCCGCAGCTGCAGGCAAAGAGCCGAAGGGACGCCGGGCCCCGGCAGCATCCCAGAGTCCTCCTTCTGAGAAACCTGTGGGTCGGGGACGCCACCTTTTGCTTGTTACTATAAATTTGCTTCCTATTAAGCCCTCGAAATTTTTTAAGTTGCTCGGTGTAGTTTTTTGCTTCTTCAGACCAGTGTGGAAGGAGGCCTGAGTACCAGCGAGCACGGCGGGGAATCGCAGGGCGGGGCGGTCATTTCCAGCACCGCAGGAGACCGCCTTGGGTCCCCTCCCATTCCATACCCCCTAAGATTGACAAGCAACCTAACCTCTATCACCGTAGCGTTGCCTAATTTTGACCTTCATACCACTGTGAGTACGTGCTCGCTTGTGTCTGGCTTCTTCCATGCGAGCTTGCATTGGGAGGCTCTGTTGCGTGTATGGGTAGTTCATTCATCTTCATCGCTGCGTAGTATTCCATTGTGTGGTTCGTACCACATTTTATCAACCGATGGTTTATTCCCAGATTCAGGCTATCGTGAGTCAAGCTCCCCTCGCCGTCGGCGCACACACCATGAGGAAGAAAGACAAGAAGTCCTTCAACCAGAGCCTGGCCGAGTGGAAGCTCTTCATCTACAACCCGAACACCGGAGAGTTCCTGGGGCGCACCGCCAAGAGCTGGGGTGAGCGGGCGGCGGTTGGGCGCCTGGGGCCGGCCGCAGTCCGGGGGGCGCCGGGCGGGGCGGGGGGGGAAGGAAAAGTGAGGTCCTGCCCGGGGGCCCCAGGAGCGGCCACGACTCCGCCACCCGCAGCGGTTTTCTCTCTCGGCCTCCAGACTAACTCGGGCGGCGGCGGCGGAGGCGGCAGAGCGCGGCCCCATTCATTTCTCGCGGGGCCGGAGGCGGTCGCTTTCAGCCGAAGCAGCGGGGTCGGCGGGCAGCCCCGGCCCAGCCGCGCGGGTTTCTTCCTCCCTACGGGGAGCGGGGCAGCGCGGGGCGCACGTGCTGCCCGGGCCTCCCGCCGGGAGCGGCGCCGGAAGCCGGGAACCCTTTCCCGGAGCCGAGCCCCTGGTGTACGGGGGCCGAGCGCCCGGGCCTCCTTTGTACGGAGCGCGTCGGCGGGGAGAGGCCTTGGCGGCGCCGCCGAGCGGTTCGGGGAAGCCAGACCCTGCCCCACGCCCCGGGAGAGGAAATTTCCACTCCCTCCGCTATCTTGTGACTCGTCCACTCTGCCACCCCAACCGGTCGGAAGAGTGCGAGTGAGTGTTAAGTATGTGGGTTGCATGAATGCCGCGGTGAGTTCATCACAAGTATGTAGTCCACGAGAATGCACTTGGATTTGGACAGTGAAAAGACCCTTAAAGCTTGGTTCCTTCCTAATTCCTTTTTAATTACAGAGGTTTCTTCCTTAGAAGTTTGCTTCTTTGGGGGAAAGTAAATCCTATCTGAATGGCACAATGTTTTTCTGCGCCTTCTGTACGCGTGATGGCTGTATCAGTTTTTCTGTACATGAGTTCTTTGTTTTAAGCGAAATATTTAAACCATTCACCAGTGTAGTGCTGTTTTTCAGAAACATTAGTGTCTGAGTAAGGACTAGTGCTCGTTCTTTTTCTTTTTTGCCTTTATACTTAAAAAAACTAATTTTGCTCCTTTTTGTTGGCCTTTTGAAAACTTTTTTGTTAATAGGTCTTGACAGACCTTTTTTTGTGGGTGAGAATAAATTTCTAGAGTTGAGAAATATTTGGGCACATTTTTAAAAGAAGCATGAAGAAAGTAAATTAGCTATGACTTAGAAAATAAACCTGCTGCTGGCTGAAATCGGCTCCCCCAGAGTGGATGCAAAGGTGGCTTAAGCCCTATCACAAGCTGAAAGGGGTCTTAGGGATTTTTTAGCCCAACCTCCACCTTAAAGAAGAAAAAAATGAGATCTGGAGAGGTTGTGATTTTGCTTTGCTTAAAATTACATATTCCACAAAGCCAAGAAAAGAACCCAGTTCTCCTTTAATCCTAGTCCAGGGGTTGTATTATTTTACAGATGCCTTGCCTAACTGCATGGTAATCACTCACGATTTTTATTTAAATGGCTGTCTTTTGGGAACCCACTGTTGTGATGAGGAAATACATCTTGCATCCGGAGTTAAATGGGGGAAATTTGCGAACAATTATTATTGTTTCTGGAGTGTATTAACTTATGCTGAAGGAATTTCTGAGTAGTAAAGATGGATTAATTTTTATAGACTAACTTCCTTCCTTTCTCCCTTCCTCAGTGCATTCTAATTTCCAGTAATTAGTATCTTCACTTTGTGAATGAGATTTCTTACTGCAGATAGTGCTCCCTCTCTAATTTAAACTTTGTATTATGATATTGGGTTAGAGATTTGATTTGATATATGCATTGGATATATGCATTTAAATAGATAACGTGTGCACAAATAGGGCATTCTATAAGGGCAGTAGAAGTAGTACAAGTAAAGTTGGCAGGATTAAGGCAAGACCTTTTTTCAAAATTGAAAATGCAGTATTATTCTTATCAACAAATAGTAAATTTCTGTTTATCATAATAATAGTAAGCCAGCACAGAATGACATAAATAAGTAAAAATTATATTTTCCAGTTATCCCAAAGAAGGGCATCCCTCTGTGGGCATTTGGGGGAGTGGTGTGTGGAGGCTGAAATCCATACTCAGCTCACTAGGCCGTGTACCCTAGAGCATGGGGGTCTTCCTGGGAAAAGGGGTATCTTGTTCTAATTCTCAGAAAAGAACTCTATGGGCCAGCTGCCTGATCTCATCATCCCAGAGAATGCCCATTATTAGTATTTTGGTATATATCTGGACAGACTTAAGAAATGTGTATAACATTTTTCTTTTTTACAAAAAGAAATCTACAGTAGGTGTTTTATAATCTTTTGAGTATATGGTGGTCATCTTCCCATGTTAATAAAGATCTATATCACCATTTTTAATAGCTGACTAGTGTTCCATTATATAGTTAGATGTATTGTGACTTTTTTTTTTAACAAACAAGTTTATTAACGTGTATACCTCATGTATGCATGGGCGATACCAAGGGAAAAATGAGTAACTCCTGATTTTTTTAAAAAATCAGTGCCTTATTATAGGTACTGGTCCCTCCTCCCATTTTTTACAAATTTATTTCCTTGAGATATGTTGCTGATGGTGGAATTTGTAGGTCAGGTATTATATATGTAACTTTTACATTTTGAAAACATGTTAAACTTTTCTTAAGAAAAACTCATTTGTGCAATTTTTTTTCCTAGTTTTTTAATTTAATGTAAGTGGTGATGGGGGTGGGGTATTTACATACTTTTTAGATCTTGGTAAAGTTGCTGGGTCTGCTGCTGTGCAGAAAAGGCCTTTTCTACCCCAGTGATATTCTAAAGACATTATTTTAAGATATTCAAGTCTTTAGTACATTTGTCCTATATAATCTGAGGTTCCTCTCCAAATTCATTAGACATTAAAAGTTCATATATTTAAAAAGCAATTTTGCCACTTATATTTGGGATAAAGTGAAAATACTGCATGTCACATCACATTGCCTTATTTAAAACAGCTATATATAAAGATTTTGAGTAGCCACTGAGTATCTGTATATCTTACACCTGGTTACAGCAGTTTACAATGATTAAATATATATAATCACCTCATTTGATTTTCACAACAACCTTCTAAAGCACACTAGATAGATGATGAAAGTGTACCTAGAGCTGATTTCTTAAGCAGAACAGTAAGGGCACATCAGGAATACACAATTGCCGTTTATGAAAACAGGACAAAGAAAATTTAGCACTTTGTGGCTGATACTACGAATATTAAGCCTAAATGCATTAAATACAGTAAGAGTGAAAATGGTGAAAGATAGCTTAGAGATCATCAGTGTTATTTAAAATGTAGGTAGTAGTGGACCATGTGTTGAAATTCACATTTTTAAAAAATAATGAAATAGAATAGAAATAACATTAAAGTCTATTCTACCTAATAATTTTATTCTATGGAAAAATATTTCATGAAACTTCTGTATTTTGTATTTACAGATACCCCACTGTTAAATGTATTTCTTACTGTGGCTCAGAGTCAAAAAAGCTTGAAAACCGCTAGCCTAGCCCTGTGCCCTCATTTCATAGGTGAGAAAATTGAACTCACATATCTGACTTGTCAAAATTCACTCATTTGGTGATAACCCTTGGGCCTTTAGACACCCTCCAAGGCCAGAGCTTTTTTAAAAAAATTATGACATGATATCTGCTTGTGGGCTTCTTTAGAGTTCATTAGCTTAAGGTTATCTGTCAGTGGGTGCTTGATATTAATATTAATTTAAAACTTGAATTAACTGATTCTAAGCAGAGTGAGAATTCTGAACCGAAACTGTTAACACTTAAATTTTGTTCCTGGGCCTTTTCTTTTACTGTAAGTCCATGAAGTACCATTTTCTCAGTCACCTGCTCCCATTGTCAGTCATGCCTCAGTAAATGCTCGGCTTTGGAGATCAAACACTGTCCCATCTTGGGAGTCTGACTGTAGGGGAGAAAGCAAGTGTGTTTATTTTCCCAATATCACATAGTTTTGCGGGGTGTTGTTCTTTGTCCTGTGGAGTGTGACATATCAAACTTTACAAAACCATGAAGCATTGGAAAAGTAACAGGACTTGCCTTACCTTATGTGCAGAATATACATGGAAGGTCAGTTCTGGGTGGGTGTGGCAGAGGCGGCAGCAGAGGCGTACTGAGCCATCCATCTAGCAGGAGACAGTACTTCCTGGACCTGGTACGGGAGGGGGAGGGGGCGGAGCAAGGGCTAAGTTTATGTGTTGTGCTCCAGACACCACTCTAATTACCGTGGTATGTGCTTTACTATTATTAAAGAGCAAGCTCCCCTCACCCTTGAAATAATTTGATTTCTTTGAAATGGAATTACTTTTGAATTTATATCTATAGAATTAGATTAGCTATATTAAAAGAATTTTAAAAACCCTCATATCTTTAATAACAACTTTTCTATGATTTATCATTATGTTTGATTTAGAACCAGTCATTTAACATAATTGTATAATAGGAAAATTACATTTAACTTTGAAAGATGCATTTATTATTTTCTAATTAATGCATTTATTATGTTGATTTTTGAAGTAAAATCACCTTTAATCTTTAACCACTTAGAATAACCTCTGTTAACATTTTAACAGTCTCCTATGTGTAAATAAAAAATTTTAAATGTATAAGTGAAAATTTAAAATGTACAGTTAGACACCTAGTTTTATCACTTAACATTTGAGGGCAATGGTTTTTATTCCTCTGCCACCTTCTTAGTTTGATGTGTTGGGAGTGTCCTTGGCCCTCTCCATCACCTCTGTGGGGACTGTCCAAACTTTCTGCTAGAACTTATGTATTCTGGTGGCTTTAGCTACTACCTCTCTGTTAGGACTCCCAAATCTGCATCTCTAGTTATAATGCATATATACATATATATGTTATTATAACCAACTGCCTGTCAGAAATTGTCGTTTGGCTGTTTCATAAATACCTCTTCATATAAATCTCCATTGACCTCAGGAGCTCCTTAGCATGAAATACAAACTATAAATCTCACTGGCTTGTTTCTCTCCTGTCACCTCTCTCTACCATTCCACATACTTCTCTCCTACCCCTCTGAGCCTATTTCCTAG